CGAGCTTTCACTGATCATCTTTTGGATGTTGTTCATCTAATATAAACAAAGTAATGGCGAAATATAATTGCCCTTAACGACAGAAGCTCTCTTCAGAAGCAGAGGAGCATTGTTGTACTGAATTAAAGTTAATAAATAACATTGGTCCGACCCATACGGCATCTCCGCTGATGTTGGCTACCTCTCCATCGTTTCCATTTTGCTATAAAACTATAAAATGTAAACCCAAGGTTATTTGTTTTGTTTGTTAATTAGGCATACAGATGGAGCATCTTATTTCAGACAGTTTGAAACGCGAGGGTCGTGATTGGTCCGTAATTGGTCCGTGATCGGCCCGTGATCGGTTCGTGATGAAGAGCCGGCCCCCAGTCTGACTTGATACCGCCCCCGTGATAAATAAATGTAATTATTGTGAAGCCAGCTGCAATGGATCATTGATCCACCAGGGGGTGCAGTGGGGTTCCACACTGGAGCTCATGTGAAATCAACTTCGATACAGTAAACTGGATGTTGTGGTGCCGAGAGACGGGAGTCGGAGGCGGGGTATCAAAAGTACAAGCTAAACTTTTATTTAGCATCTGAACACACATGTAAACAACTTCATGCCCGGGAAGCGAAGACCGGCGGAAACAGCTGGTCTGGTTCACTAAAATGTCCGTGCGGAACAATACCCCAACCCATAGCTCCGTGGGTGAATAATGTCAATCACCACAATGTACAGTATGTCTGGTACTAATGTATAGCGGATCTTTGTTAAGATCCATATGTCACGGATAGGATCATAGTCTGTGCTAAATAAGACATGTAATCATTTACAAAACATCACCATGTTGTTATTTAACAAAATAATGTTGTTTAGTCGAAAAAAACGAACGAGAGGAAATGCAGCCGGCTCTCGATTTTTAATCCTAATTTAATCATCATCTTCACCACGATAATTTATGTTTATGTTCGCCGAATTGACATGAAATCACTGACAAATATGAATATACTGTATTCAACTTCATTAAAATGTTATTAACGTGCCTAAACTCAGTAATTCACTAAAAATATTTATATTTGAATGGAGCCTTGTCAGGCAGATCAAGATCCGCGTAGCGGAGGGATCTTGATCCCTGGGTGTTATTTTTCCCCATAATGACCAAGTCGCTGCAAATTATCCCGCTTATTACATGGCCACATTCTCAACAAAGTAACGACATGACTCCCAATATTAATTGAAATGCTTTTATGGATTTAGAAAATGTTTTTATTGATTTAAAAAATAGTTGTATGTATTGATTTAAATTGACATGCATCCGCCAAGAAAAATTGTCCGTTGTTACCGTTTTTTAAACAGTCAGAATGAAACGGCAGCTCTCAGCTGTGTGTATACACACCTAATGGCCCATCACCCACAGCTCTCTCCCCCCCCTGATCTTTCTTTTACAACAGTTAAGTTAACTGTAGGTTACTCTGAGTGACAAGCTTACAGTTAGTGAAGTAACACTTTTTTTTTGTGAGTCACGACCTGGCTGTTTCATTCTAACATAACGCTCCAAATATGACTGTTTCCACTCGGACTTCAATACAGCAACACCATTGTTTGGTTTCCATGGTAGCGTGTCTCTTTAGTAGTGTGCACTCCTTTCCTGTAAATTACTAAATTCGTTTTTAACTGAAATGATCAAATAAAGTCAAAATGTCACAGTGTTTACAAACATTGACCATACCGTTCACCAGCCCCCACCCCCCTATGTTGAGTAGGCTATACTCTTTGTTTAAAACTAATTGGCCATCGGAATGTGTGTGTCCCAACCCCCCCCCTGTGATATCTCTTCTCCAGCAGTCTGTAGGTTTGTGTTCGCATATTTATGCTGTCGCAGTTCCTGTTGTTTCTATTGCGCATTGCCGGTATGAAAGGGTCTGTGCCGGAAATATCAAGATAACACGGCAGGGTCTGTTACAGTTTGTTTTCATCTGATTTCAAATAAACAAAGTCTTGGCTTTCAGAATATTAAACTTGTTTCGGCAAATTTAGATGATAAATACAACTATGAAGCTTGTAACGGCATAATTACTTAAGCGGAGAACGGAGTAATTTAACGTTACAGCAGGCATAACAACAGCCGGTGTTTATTTTATTATTATATATAGTCGTTATTCATTTGTTTTAAAGCTCAATAAGGAAGATTTAAACTTTCACACACAGCTTTTTCCAGCGGTATCCATACATCTCTTAATTTTGACCTCAAAGTGCACCAGATTGATGCATTTAACTTCAATATAAAGAAAAACATCTTCTGTTGTAACAACAATAACATTATAAATAGTAACATAGCTGAACATGACTGAGGCTTTTTAACATAGACTTTTCCAATGTCTGAGTGTAATATCTGCATTTTCTATTTTGGTTTGATAAGGACACATCCTGGGGATTGTGTTTACAAACATTGACCATACCGTTCACCATCCCCCACCCCCCTACTGTATGTTGATTTTGTTTGTCTACATGTAAATGGGTGGCATTTAGTACCCCCCTCTGAGTGAATACCTGTTGTACCTGTCCGGGGCTAAGCCCATAGGACGATGCTCTGATGTCAACCCCCCCCCGTTGACAATTCATGAGCGTCTAACTCTCTCCCCCCTCCCCCGTCGCACCTTCTAACAGAGCCCCCCCACATATCAAATCCCAATTTAACCCCTGGCCTCTGGAGCAGAAATGAAAGAGTTTTAAAAATGTTTACGTTTTGGTAAGTTTTTAGGGAAATGTTGTAATTGCAACGTTGGCCTAAGGTGGGAGCAGAATTTCTGTATTTCTACTCACATTGTCTGAATAAATATATTGAACAACTAAGGGTTAATTTGCAGGATTGATTGCTTACTTAGCCCTATATCAGTATATAGCATGAATAATAATCACACATCACTCATGTTTGTTATGAATAATCATTTATCATTTATTAAATAGTAAGTCGCTTTGGATAAAAGCGTCAGCTAAATGCAATTTATGAAAGCCTCACTCAGGATTTTTTTTAACAAGTGTTTTTATTGCTCTTGGGGCATTAAAAACAAGATTTTAAGTTTAGTTTTTTATATAATATCTGCATTTTCTCTTGTGAAAAACTAAGTCTTAGTTTGGCCATAGTTATTTAATATATAGCGCTATCTCCTGGTTAAATCCTGAAATTGAAAATCTGGCAACGCCCTCTTGGAAAATAGTGGGAGGGTTGATGACGTCATATTCCCATTATCTATTGCTCTCATGCTATAAACACTTTTCTTAATCAACCTGTCAGTTGCTGATGAGGTTGCTGTCTCTCTCTTAAAGTGTAAAAACTGGTGGACGGAGTTAAACGCCATTGAATAGTCAAAAGTTGATTAATGTTTGAGTCAGAGAAAGAAAAACAAACCTCTGGCTCTATCTTCCAAGGTGGTTTCTTAAATTTCCCTCCCCTCTCCTCTTCTCCTCTGTACTTGTAAGCAGAAAACACTGGTATCCTGTTGCGGGTGTCGTAGAGCGTCACAAACCGAGGCTTGTTCTTGAAGGTCTGGCAAATGACTTTATATCGGTTCTGGTCCAGGATCCTCCCGTTCTGCAAGACGTCGGGGACATTTGGTGGTTTTTCCAGAAGAAGAAACCCAGGACAGTCAGCCATTGAATTCACCACTTCAGTTAGTGTGGGGTGGATGGACAGGAGGATGGTGGCAAAGGGCAGGAGACTCCATCTTTTTAGGTTCACATACTGTGTATTTTTTGGGAGGGGAAAGAACAATGCATTATCAAACATTAGAGTTTGAGATACCAGTTCAAACCAGACCTTTTTGGAGAGGAATCATAATGTTATCTTATAGAGTGGTGAAGGGATGACGTATTCACCAGTGGGGTATTTACAGATTTTACTGATAACAACCTCTTGAGATTATTTTAGGAGTCATTAGCTGGGTTACAACTCATTGCTTTACACACTGGTTAATGATTCCCAAGTTAAACTTTTGTTGTTCGGCATTGTGTACACACTAAGATAATCAGGCTTTCCTGGAGGAATGGATTAAATCTGGGATAAATTTCCGTTAGAAAAACTGCTTGTAGATTTGCTGGTTAATACAAATAAATAAATAAAATAAAGTGTTATTTTTTCACATTTCACATCGTCATGAAGCAGTAATACAATAAAATACTCCCTAAAAGTCCTGTTTTAGGAACTTTACTTGAGAAAAAGTACAGAAGCATTGTCAGCAAAAGCTACTTAAAGTATTTTCAGTAAAAGTTTGCAGAATCACCCGTTTTGCATCAACATGGGAGCAGCATCGTCTTGATAATTCAAGTTATTTCGCGTATTCAGATTTACAAGAAATGTAACAAAATTCACTTAAACTTGCCGTAACTTTCATATCATTTTTATTTGTGATAACATTACAGCGTTTATATTTTTGCAGAACTATAATCGTTTAATTTAGTTATTCTTACGTTTGTAAAAGTGCATAAATCACGGAAAACATTCGATTGTGTCTGGAGTTTTTCTAAATTAAGGATTAAGGATTTCATATTTTAAATTATATTTATTTATCTTTAGTTCAGAGGAAATGTGTTATGTGAGTACAAACTGAAAATGATATTTAAAAAAAATGTTTAAGACTTTGGGTAAACTGTGATTCCCATTTTCTCATCTGCAATTTTCCACATTTTAAAAGTAATCCATTAAATGAGAAAATAATCCAGAGTTTAACAAATTCAGGAATAATCCTTATAAAGTTTTAAAAAAAAAAACACTTACCATCTTGGATCAGAGCTTCATGAAATCTGATGAAACTGAATTAACTCAGAGAGTCTGAAGGAAGGTACATGTCCCTGGAGGTGTGGCTACAGAAATATTATAATAACCTCCATCATCGGGGACTTTCCATGGATGTGTTTTTGTTCAGTATGACTCCATATTTATTCAGAAAGGTGCGTTGAATGGTCCTTTACTTCTTTTACAGAATATTTGTACATTGCCTAACAGAAAAAGAGACTACAATTCAACATGAGCAGTGTTTTATTTCATGGACACAGCTTCAGTTTAAAGACCTTTATAGACAGGATGACGCAATAATGCAAAATACTCGCCTGCAAATATTTTGCATCAAATCTATTCGTGCCGGCAGCGAAGCAAATTAAAAAAGAATATAAGTATTGATTTGTGAGTTTATTATACATGAATAGATAGACAAACGTGATTGGTGGATGATTATGAGTGAGTGGTCAATCCGCTTCATCTGATTTGTCAGTTCTAGACGATGTAAGCACCGTAGAGTGGTGCAAGAATGTCGTTTTCTGTAGTCCGACCCTGAAGGCAGCATCTCATGGTTCAATGGGAATTTCCATTGGATTTTCGAATTATGGTAGAAAATAATCTCTGTGTCAAACAAACGTTTATGATACTTACACGTTTAGTTCAGAAGGATATTCTCCACATGTCAACACCACTTTATGATTTCTGAAGTAAAAATCTAACGCTATAAAGGAACTACAGCACGGTCACATGACTTCACGTCACCACCGCTAAGCTATAGGCGGCTAATGTTGGGCTTGATGATGTTTAATCGTCTCATTTGGACAATTGTTAGCAACCGCTGTCGTTAAATTCACCAGTGGGGTATTTACTTTTGTAGTTAATGTCGTACAATACTAATCTCTTCAGCTTGTGTTAACCACAGACCTTATTTCAGAATAAAAACACATTCAGAAAACCGTTGACAAGGAAACAGGAAACAGGGTTTTAGAACTCATTCCTGCACCAATCTATTACAACGTCTTCTCTGTGTTATTGTTAGTAAATTAAACAATAACAGTGAGGTGAATGGTGGGAGTTTGGGACCATCATGGCCCCCAGGGATGGTGGGAGCAGCTGATTGGTCGGTTGATCAGTTTGGGGGCGGGGCATCAGCCTCCAGAGCGTCGGAGATCATCAAGCAGAGCTGAGCGAAAGATGGACGCTCCTCCGGTCTCTGAGACAAAGATATTCAGATATATAAAAGTGGTTTGACATAACACAGTGTTAATACGTGTTATTATTGTTGGTGCATTTGTCAACAATGAACTGGATCCATTTCTGTTTTCATCAAAGCCTTCTACTAGAAACTAATTTAGCTTCTATTCAGACCGTCACAAGTAAAAAACAAGAAATAGAATCAAATAAATTAACGCAAAAATAGTATAATAAACTTATTTTTTCCTTAAATCAGAAATGTTAAATGTAAATGTACTCCAGGTGTAACTCAAGTCTTATTCTATTGTTGCTTATATTCCACATCATTCATCCAAATCTGTAAAGTAACTAAAGGTATTAAATAAATGTAGTGGAGTAAAAGTACATAATGTACCTCTGATCTGTAGTGGAGTGGAAGTACACAGTAGCATACAATGGAAATACTCAAGTTAAGTACAAGTACCTCAAATGTGTACTTAAGAACAGTACTTGAGTAAATGTACTTAGTTACTTTACACCACTGGCAGTCTACACTTCACTACACAAGTTGAATTTAAAAGTATCTTAAAAACCTTAAAACTCCCAGTATATTAGGATAAAAAAAAGGTTGAGTCTCTGGGCTCTCACCTCGTGCCAGCAGAGCTGCATGATGTCATAGATTGTGGGCGTCGCCATTTTCGGCCTGTAGCGGCGGTGACCTTTGGTTACCAAGGTAACGACCTCGTGGTTCTGACTCTGTTCGAATGGCATGCGACCCTCGGCAGGGCTGGACTGGGACTGCAAATCGGCCCTGGCATTTAGACCCAGACCGGCCCAAATCCATAAAACAAACGAATAGTAGCGGTTCCTGACAAGAAGAATAAGTCAGTATAATATAAAAAAACGCTATTATTATCCTTTTTACGTACCAGGGGCAAACAAAACTAATACATACCACAAGTATGTGTAACTATCAATCATTAGAAATTAGACCTTCAAACCCTCTCACAAAGCGAACAGTGACCGAGCACTAATAGGGAGGTCTGGTGGGGTATGCCCCCCCCAGAAGAATTTTTTTTAAATAACCCCTTAAATGATGACTTCTAGTGAATTTAGGGGGGGGGGACCCCATAGTGCCCTGCCTCCCCTTTCTATGACAACACAATAGAGATAGGACCAGATGAGTCTACAGGATGAGTCGACGGCATCTTTTTTATATACATTGACGCTTTCATTTAATTTTTCCATCCTTTTTTTAATCGCTGTAATTGTATCGCCTTTTTCATCTGTACACACGACACCTATTGCACGTCTGTCCGTCCTGGGAGAGGGATCCCTCTTCTGTTGCTCTCACAGAGGTTTCTTCCTACTTTCCACTGTTAATTGTGGGGTCTGTTTTGGGGAGTTTTTCCTTGAGCGCTGCAAGGGTCTAAGGACAGAGGATGTCGTACCTGTACACACTGTGAAGCCCTCTGAGACTAATTGTAATTTGTGATATTGGGCTATATAAATAAAATGTGATTGATTGATTGACGCACGCAAGGGGCTATAGTGCAAGTCTTAGGCGGCTGGTTTCTCAGAACCTCACAGAGCACACAGAACTGAAGGAACACAGGCTTAACCAAAAATACTATCCACTGTCTTTATTTTTTTTCCTGAGAATAGGTTTGAAAGAGACAGATTTAAATTTACAAAGAGAGTTGAAGCAACATTTGACAGAAAACCCACATAAATTACAAAAGTACACAACTAGCAAGATATATATACTGTATATATATATACTGTACACACAAAGTAACTTATATACTAGACTGAAATAACTCAAATGAATGCTTGTTGTGGAGAGGGGCACTATGTCCAGCGTCCATTCCTCGGTGTGTGTGTGTGTGTGTGTGTGTGTGTGTGTGTGTGTGTGTGTGTGTGTGTGTGTGTGTGTGTGTGTGTGTGTGTGTGTGTGTGTGTGTGTGTGTGTGTGTGTGTGTGTGTGTGTGTGTAGTTGGGGGGCTTTGGGAGAGTCAAAAAGGATGCAGGTGACCTCTTTGGTCCCTGATAGAGGTCCATACAAATAGGCATTGACATAACAATACCACACAGTTAATGGTCAAAGCTACATGTGTGCCTCCATTTTTTAATCTATTTCTATATTATTCATTCTATATATTGTCAATCAAAACTACCACAAAAAGCTGATTATAAACATTTTGTTCAGGTCCCAAAAGACCACTGTTGCCCTTATAACCACATAAGTAAATAAACTAAACAAAACAAGCTGCCATCTGACAGTAATTGTTCATGAATGGTGGTTAACAAAATAATGACATTCTTTCAATGAGACAACGTATCAGAGTCCCATTAAGCTATATTTTAACTTGCCAGGGAAAACCTAAAAAAGCCAGCTTACTAGCTTGTAGGCTAACGAATGTTTCTCTAATAATATGTGTCTTATTAGTGCTTCATCAAGGGGATATTAATGGGTTCCAGAACTACAGAGTATCATAACCTTAATAATAATCTTTTCCTAATTTTCTTAGCTTCTACTTACCGCGAGTTCTCCTCCCTCTCCCCACTCGCGCTGATCTCTCTCCCTCTCATCATCTTCCTCACCACCAATATCGGCCACGGGTGCTGAAGATGGACCTGCACCTGTACTAAACATGTCGGTTATTTTGACACAAGCGGCAACATCAGCACGAAGGGCCTGCTTTTTTCTTGCCTCGAAAAAAAAGGCAGTTTAGCTTCAACGGCCGGCTCACCTCCTGGGGGCATGATTTAATGATGCACACCGAGCGGCCCAAAGGGGGAGGTGATTAAAGATTTGATTGGGCCGGCCCAGTGTCAATTACTAAAAACATTTAAACAGAGGGCCAATCTACCCGTCTTATGGGCCGTGACTTCAGAAAAAAAAAAATTGACGTGTCGGCCCAAAAGGCACGTCGGCCCACCGGGAAAATGCCCGGTATGCCAGATGGCCAGTCCAGCCCTGACCCTCGGTGAAAACCTCCCACATCAAAACGGCTGGAAACAAAACAAACAAACAAACAAACAAACAATGAGTCCGAAGCTTAATTTGTTGAAACTTTGCCGAAGCTTGAATGAATAAATGGTAAAATATGAAAACAAGGTGGTATTTCTTCTGCACATTTAATCACCTAATGACACATTTTTCCAATTAAAACATCTTGACCCTACTTGGTTCTTTTTAAAATCAGTATTATATAGAATAATTCACTATAGGGACTTCATTTGGTTCGGTTTTTAGCGAGAATGCAATGTAATGTTATCGGTCAGTTCGTGCACGTCTACGTAAGTACTTTATTTTACTAATATCCATACTATAAATCTTATCTTCATGCAGTATCATATTTCTACCATATAATATACCTTAGCCCATACTGTACCATGTAGCATATCATGTTCGTATGTCACTACATATTCCTAAATACATAGTAATTGTTGCACCACATTTTGCACTTTGTCTCGGTAGTTGTTCAATTTAATACAAAATATCCACCTAGTTGAATTCAGCTAAAAATTCAGCCCTCATATATATATTTTAGCAAACACTAAGATACGCTGCCTGTATGTCATGTCTGGATGCTAGCCCTTGATTTTGTGAATCTTTGCGATGTTGATGTGAAAGTGAACGTACCGAAGGACCAGACGTCGGACTTGCTGCTGTATTTGCAGAAGTTAAAGACTTCGGGAGGCGACCACTTCACCGGGACTTGGCGCCCGATGAGCTGGTGTACTGGTCGTCTAACACGTATCTACAAAACACAAATCGACATTTTAATGGTACACGGAAACAATTAGTTCTTACGAATATTTAAAGGAAATATTAAAATATAGTTAAAAATAACTATAGAACTCTTCCTCTGTGGCCGCAGACCCTCGGGTGCTGAGGGTCCACCCGGCCCGTCTGAGAGCAGGGAAACAAAAGAGTAACGCAGGAATTTATAATAATAATAATGAATTCGATTTTTTATTAAAGCGCTTTTTCAAGTGCTCAAAGTGATTTACATTACATATTACACATATTGGACATATTTGATAAAACTAACGTTAATATCTAGGCCGTCTCCGATACCGAACTCCGGTGCTGATAAGGCTCCGGTGAACGGCCGTCCAATCTTTTTAGGACTAAAGCCCCCAGAATCTACACGCAAGATCAACGTAATCTTTTTAGGGGGGCATTTACAGCGTGGCCTCTAACACCAAACTACCCGTCGTATCCCTATTTTAGGCACTCCAGCCACGGATGTCCGACCGCTAGGATAGCAGAACGGTGTGTGTAGTGTAGTAGGTTCACCCCTCTCGTTCTGTTCCTTTCCTCTGATATTTAATAATAGATAGAACATTATTAGATGGCTGCACTTTGGTTAACAGACTAACATTGATTTCCTCAATTTATAAATTGACAGGCTCTGTAATTATACCATAACCTTTTCTCCTCTATCCCTTAACTCGTCTTCCTATCAGATTTACTTATTTACTATCTACTCTATATCAGGATTAAAGAACAAATTATCTGGTTGATTTTTTATTTTCAGGATTGAATGTTCAAACTAAGGCCTAAAACCTGGCATTTCATAAGAAAGTGACTAATATATAAACCAAATCTAATATTGGATCAAATACTACACCAAATGGACAGACACAGATTAAACATAAAGTCCCCTGGTTTGTCTCTAGAGTCTAACTGCCATGAGAAAATCAAATCAATGTTCCAAAATCCGCCACTAGATGTCGCTCATTGTACCAATACGGTTTATTTAATACATATCATATTATTATTATAGTAAAAGGGATCGCCTTGGCAACAACCTGATCCATACAGGCAGCCCTAAATAATAACAAGTAACCATCGTGTGTGGTGCTATCTGTAGTTGTCTGTCTTATTTTTTGGTGATTTCATATTGTTTTCACAGAGCTGTGAACATGAATTTCCCCCTGGGGACAATAAATCTAATCTAAACTAATTTAATATTCAATCCATAGACTGTATATATAAATGGACGTAGGGTCCGTGACGTCACCCATAGGATTCTGCAGAGTTGCCGAGAAGCCCTTAGTAGGCGGAGTCGGCCACTAACGGCTCGACAGTGGCGTCAGAGTCTAACTCCCGCCGGCTCCAAATAAGGACAAAGAGGCGGAGCCGAGGCGGGACCTGCTGCCTCCGAGCTGGAACTTCCAGAGCTAGCTGAAGCTACCAAGCTAAGCTAACATGCTCACCATCTGCAGAGTTGCCGTCGCATTGTACGTTTCTAAGGTAAGCGGACATGAGACTATTCAGCAAAACTATAAATAATAATCTAAGTTGAGTTTTTAGCATAATACTTCAGAATCTTAAAATCCCTTGACGTTTGTATGCAATGTGCTAAATTAAACACTGGAATCAAGCAAAATATTAATATGTTTGCATGACATTAGTTATTTATATTTTGCCATCACTTAATTATACGTTTAATACATTTAAGTTAAGCTAAGGTACATGTGATGATAGCTAGTTAGTGCTCTTACCTGTGAGGCCTCCTCCAAACAGCATTATAACCAGACTGTATCATTAAAACTACAAGTACCAGTTCTAGATCCTTGACTTTAGACAAACAATTCAAAAGACAAAATGTATTTAAAGACCAATCTTTATTTGAAGGTGCCTCTTAACCTGAGATATTAGTTATACAGTAATAGTATTGACAATCTAAAAAAACTGAGCAACTCAACAGTCAACTTTATATTTCTTATTGTCTAAAGCATTTATTATTTTCATTTTTCCCCTCTCATATTCAGTGTGGACGGATTGAGACAGCGTGGTGTCCAGAGAGCTGCAGAGACTTCAGAGAGAAACCTCCGTGTGATGGACGTCCAGTCTGTTGGTTTGGAGAGGACTGAGGGTCTTTCCTCTGTGAGGACCAGACCTGATGGAGGAGCCCATGCATAGCTGATACCACCTGCACAGGCCTTGTCTGTCACTTTATTTGACTAAATGTGTTTACTTATACATTTAATAGGTTTACACCTTCTGTCCATATGTGCTTTTTATTTAAAACATGTTTGATTAACTTTTGGTTCACATTTCAATAAATTGAATTTGTATTTGCACTCCTTTTGTCCATTATTCTTACTGAAAATGTTAGATTACACATTCACATCTGACTGAAGATTGGCCCCATTTATTTGCGTTGCAAACTCTGCGGTACAAGGTACATGTTGTGAAGCTCATGAAGTGAGGCAAATAGAATTAATCAGCTGATGGAGTGTAGATGTGGAAATAGGTGCATTCGATCAGCTGACTGTGTTTTCACAATAAAAATGGTTTCTTAGTGAATGTCCTGTACTGGTCTTAACATCTCATAACATCAGCTTTTAATTTTCCTATTGGATGTTTTTCTTAACCCTCAGAGAAGGAGAAAATGTTGAGTCGTGTCTTTCAGGCATGTCCTTTCCTAACAAAAATTACAGGAAACATAAAGCATATTATTGCAGAACAAGTGTGTTATTTATGAAAGAGGTGTGTTTGTGTTTAGGGGCTGTAGATATAATTATTTTGTAATTGTAATGTTTTTATTTATTTCAACAGTGAGCTACAAAGACAATCAGATTATGAATGAACAGTATGAAATTCATCAACATTGAAATGTATTTTATTATCAAAATAATATTGAACTGTTATCAAAACTTAGTGCAACTGTAGAAGCTTGCTCTGTTGTCTCACTGAAAGAATAACTTTTACCACGTTTTTACAGACAATATTGAGAGATAAATAGCAGTTCTCACTATGCGTTAAATAGCTTTGCCTTCAATACCTTAAATTAGAAAGCTGACAGTCATATTGCTTGTTAACATCTAAATGTAACCCTTTGCATGGAAAAAACCCTCAACTTCACTGATGTGTAGGTGATCTAGTATTTAGTATTGTTTAATGGAATGTATATCAGTGTATTAAAGTCAATACTTCATTTATTTAAACCAATATCTTTCTTGATTCTTTGTACAGTATGAAAAAAGAGTATTTGTACCTGTGCTGAAGTTCACTGCTGTGAGGAGTCCAGTTCTGTCTCTCACTCTCTGGTCCAGCCTGTCTGCATCACCTGCACACTTTAAACAAACAGATATATATGTAAAGAACCATGTGTACAAACAATATAACTTATTCTCTTCTGTTGAACATGTTGGATTGTGTATTGTCCGAGTCAGGGTCCTTTTTATTTTACTGTAACTTTGGAAGTTGTGTTACCAATGCTTACTATTTATTTGATACCAATTTGGTAATGCAATTAATAAAAACAACAACGTTTGGGTTCGTTCTTCAGATGACTGTGACGTTAACGTGTAAGCTCAATAATGAACTCCAGCTCAACCAACCATATTGTAATATCTAAGTAATCATCTTGAAATATGACATTAATAATTGTAATATACACACATCTTATTGTGAGGTTGATTTCACATACACTACTTCGACGTTAGCTTGTCTACATACTTGAGCATAGCCAATTTAAATTAACCTAAGCGATGCATAAAGTTCCTACCTACATAATAAAATATCTCTCTAAGTTACAAGGATGACCTTATTTTATCAACCTCAAACAGAAGCCTTTTGTTCTACAGTATTATCCCACTTAACGCTTAACACTTGTCTATTTCGTTTTAACCTTTATATATACAGTCTATGGTTTTAAATTAACTTGGAGGCTAAGATTAGCATCGTTAGCACCGATGTAGCTACCACTCGCTTACACGCTAACCCAAGCCTTAACATTCATTACGTATCATAAACACATAAATAAAGTACTCGAATTTCACTTACCGCAAAACGGCATTCATGCACCGTCTGTTTTAACCGCAGAGCGAGTCACAATAGTCCCATATATAAGCATGAAGAACAAACAAACACGGCCGGGGTCAAGTTGTGTTCCCTGGATGAACTGGGCAGGCAGAGTCCCTGTAGCTTCACGGAGACGGAGCAGCTAGCAGAGAGACAAGAAGCTAACAGCAGCAGTCACTTGACAGAGCTGTCACTCAATGTGACCACGCCCTAATTTATGCAAAAACTTTAAGACCTAATATAAATAAAAGGGTCATGTTAGAAAACAATTCACTCACAGATTCATAATCATGAAGGTGGAATCTAACTATATCTATAATAAAATGTATTGCAGCCAGGGCTTGTATCTGCTGTGAAATTGGGCTTTTTAACATGGGGGTCTATGGAAATTGCACCTTTCTGCAGTCATCGCCTATCGGCCAATATATGAACTGCAGTTTGTGGCACTTCCGTATTGGCGTCCCGGCTCTTCCCCAGAGTTTGCCGCTTGATTCAATCCCACACTTGGCGAATGAGAACATAAATTCGTAACTTACCTCGTTTAAAGCACTTTTGTTGTAATAGTATGGATTTAGTTGACACTACTAGCCGAGTTTCTTTTATCCAATATTTCGTGGGCAGGTACATTGAATTAGAAGAAGACGAAGAAGAGGTAGAAGAAGAAGTAGTAGAAGAAGAAATATACTAACGCTACAAACAGGCACAACACTGTTACTCTGTTTTTACTGACATGTAACATTTTATTTCACCTTGCTCTATGTTTTTTAACGCACATTCAAAAACGGGAACATTTTCTGCAGTTTCAACCGGGTACCGGCCACCGGAAACAGGGACGTTTTGGTCACACATCCGACTGTGTTTACAGCTAAGCACACACGCTAACATTAATTAAGACTACAAGCTCACTTGGGGTTGAGGCTTTTTTACACGTTGCTTGACTGCCTGCCCACATATCTGATCTAGACATAGTAACGTGTATTGGGGAAGATAATTATTTAAAGTTATTTCATAATTGTGACATTTATTGTACTTTTTGATGGATGAATGATGCTCAAAGTGAGGGGGCAAAGAATACAACTGAGGGGGCAATGCCCCCTTTTGCCCCCTCGTGGCGCCGGCCCCGCCTGGAGGAGAATCCCTCTGTTAGGGCGGCTGTGGGTCAGTGGATAGAGTGCTGGACTTCAAATCAGGGGGTACCAAGTTCGAGTCCCTCTGCATGTTGTTGTGTCCCTGGGCAAGACACTTCACCCCAAATTGCTCCTGTGGGGATTGACCACAGTATTGCGTCTAACAAATGACATGTAATGTAATGTAATATAATGTTAATGGGAGACTCCCTGGTAATTAGGGCAGCTTCAGAACCCACAGTCCCTTACCCCACCCTCTCTTGATCCCCAAATATATCAATCAAAACAATGCAAATGTAATATCAAACACAGCCATAGTCAAACATTAATGTCACAGCAGTGATATTACCACATCAGCAGAGCATATGTCATATTTCAACATTCATCAAAACCACCTCAACCACCTCAACCAATGTGAAACTATAGTTTAACCTTAGCAGAGTTTATATTCCCCTTAAACAATTTAAATCCAAATGATCAACTAATGTGAGCCTTTTCCACGGAAGGGTGTTCTTACCTCACTCTAAGACCAAGCAGATACTTTCAGAAACCATGAGAGAGAGACCAGGAGTTGGGTCGAAATGTACAAAGTACAAACCGGTTTTATTAAGGTTTTAACAAAAATGGAGGATTAAAAGAACCCTTAAAAAATAACAAAGACACCAAGTCATACAATAGCAACAGGTTCACAAGTCAAATGTCTCGTTCCTTCTTCTCCATCCTTCTTTATAGTCCTCTTCCTCCTCCCTCTCTGCATCAGATGGTCTCCCCCTTTCTCTCTTTCAGTCAGAAGGAGGTCACAACTGTTCAACTTTTAATTATTGAACATTAAAAAATGTAAGGTTTAAAAATTAAACAAATACAAACTTATAGTACTGACATGTAATTTTAAAGAGAGGGAATATGAACATTTTTCATGGAAGCAGAACACATTGTCAATGTCATGTTTTTAGAATCAAATAATTTTCTTTAAACATTTCTATTTCAAATATGCAAACTTTATACTTTAATTCATTAACAGAGACTTCATTTATTAACAGAGACAAATAAGGACAGCTTGGCTCTACGATTCGCTGGCCCAGGAAGTTGATTCAAATCTGTGCGTAGGCCGCCTGCATCCTATGCCTCATTGTCTTCATACCCGCTGTAACCGCTCTCAATGTGTCTAAAACCACAAGCGCCTTCTCTGAATGGTATCTGGAACTTTTAGGCTTTTATTGCACCATCTAGAATGTTTAATGTGCATAGGTCAAAAGTTCAGAAGGTTCTGTCTAGTTTCACATGCCTGGTTTCATATGCCTGAAACAACATGAAGGAAACATACATCCTTTCCATTCACAGCCAATTTAGCATATTTTTATCAATGGTAAGCTTAATAGAGGTAGGTGAGGTAAAGGTCAGGTCTGACACGGCCACTTAAACAGCAGAACTGTCAACAATATAACAGTCAATGCTGTGGACAATACCCACAGTATTGACTTATTTGATATTGACATTATTTGATATTGATAGTATTATCACTTCCTGTCCCCTGGTTTGGAAGTCAATGGTTTTCTGAATGTGTGTTTGGTTGTTTGCCTGAAATAAGGTCTGTGGTTAACACAAGCTGAAGAGACTTTTGTTCCACGACATAAAATACGTCAGTAAATACCTCACTGGTGGATTTAAAAACGGAGGATGCTAACGAGTGTGTAAATGAGACGACTAAACGTCATCATGCTCAACATTAGCCTCCTTTAGCTTAGTGGTGGTGACGTGAAGTCATGTGACCGTGCTGTAGTTCCTTTATAGCCCAACATTAGCCACCTTTAGCTTAGCGGTGGTGACGTGAAGTCATGTGACTGTGCTGTAGTTCCTTTATAGTCCAACATTAGCCGCCTTTAGCTTAGCGGTGGTGACGTGAAGTCATGTGACCGTGTTGTAGTTCCTTTATAGCCCAACATTAGCCTCCTTTAGCTTAGCGGTGGTGACGTGAAGTCATGTGACCGTGTTGTAGTTCCTTTATATCCCAACATTAGCCGCCTTTAGCTTAGCGGTGGTGACGTGAAGTCATGTGACTGTGTTGTAGTTCCTTTATATCCCAACATTAGCCGCCTTTAGCTTAGCGGTGGTGACGTGAAGTCATGTGACTGTGTTGTAGTTCCTTTATATCCCAACATTAGCCGCCTTTAGCTTAGCGGTGGTGATGTGAAGTCATGTGACTGTGCTGTAGTTCCTTTATAGTCCAATATTAGCCGCCTTTAGCTTATATTATAAAAATAACATACTACCAATAATAATATCCCAGCAAAATACATAACAAATATTATCTTTTACCATATTCATGATTTTCTGTGTGTGTTCTGTTTGTATCAACCAATATTTGTACTTCTTTTAGTCTAATATTTTATCTTTTCAACAGAATTCTCACGTGGTGGAGGGGCAGCACCAGGAAGGCCCCGCCCCCTTCGCACTCCGTCACCACGGCGATGAAGCAGGGATTGGCTGAGCAGTAGAGGTTGTCATGGACACCACGTGTGATTGGCACCCCGTAGTAGCTGTGCTCCTTATTGGAAGGCTTCCCAAAACGTGACGAAACTTTGAGCATCGGAAAGACGAGCGCCACGACATCTGGAGGGGGAGAGGTTTGGAAAACTTTAGAGTGTGTGTGTGTGTGTGTGTGTGTGTGTGTGTGTGTGTGTGTGTGTGTGTGTGTGTGTGTGTGTGTGTGTGTGTGTGTGTGTGTGTGTGTGTGTGTGTGTGTGTGTGTGTGTGTAGGTGTGTAGGTTTGTGTGGAACTTGGGCAGCTTTATTATCTGGTCTCATGAATAATCCAATCAGCTGTCTTTCATAATCTTATCAATAATGCATCAATTTCTTCAATAACTTCTTAATCATTTGCACACAAACACACACACACACACACACACTGATAAATCCTCCGTCCAGAACAGTTTGTCCGTGTTTATCGGTACATACACACTTTATGTCCTCCTGACTTTTGACCTTTACAAGAGATCAGCTTACTGCGGCGGAAAAAAACACACATTTCCACTTTAAATACCCTCCGAAATTATGAAATATAACAGAAAACCACTAAATACCTGCTATGATGTCCACAGTTAGTTCAGCATCAAATTCATGGACTTGTTTAAAGTATGTTATATTTTATTTCCCTGCCTTTAACGTTTTTATTGTTTTAATGCCATTGAAGACAACTTTTGATCAGACAACGACAAAGGTAAGCCATATCGCCGTTTTAGCTACCTAGCGCCACGTGTTGTGATGTCTGTTTTTGTTTATAAAGTGGCGAGTTCTTATCATAGAGTGATGATATATACACCCATCGATTCTGTGTACTCTCACAATGCTAGTCGATGAGTTGGATTTTCAGTTACGATAAGTAATAAGGGTGTTATGAGTGAGTTTCTGTGCACACGCCCTTAGCATTTTTTCGCTCGTGGCTAATTCAGAGGCTGAGCGTTAGTGGGTTTTTTGCAAAAAAAAGAAAAAAAGATCAGTTAGCTGAGTTTCTCCCCATTACATGGATATAAAACATTCATAGTTTATTAAATATTAAGAAGCCCTCAGACGCTGTTTCCTGCAGATGATGCGTGATGGGGTTCAACAGGTTAAAAAATGCAGCTGTTTGTTTGTGTTTCAATAAAGTTAAAACGTCAATAATTAAGTTGAATTTAAAATGTAGGGGAATAAAGTAGAAATATTGAGTAAAAGAGACATTTGATTACAAGTCAAGAATAAGTGTGAATTGTGGGGAATAATGTTGACATTTTGAGAATAAATTGAGTAGAAATGTTAAAGATGAGGTTTAAATGTTAATTATCACGTACAATTCACAGGGAATTAATTAGAAATCTACCATAAAGTTGAAGTGTCGAGATAACATTTTTCACTGTAAAACTTTGCTTGTACTTCGTTTTTCCAACCTTTTTATAGAAATAAATAAAATAACATATATGTTAATATAAATAACAGAATGTCGACTTACCTCAGATACAGTCATGTTGGACTCACTGACTTCTCCTCCTGCAGACAAACTGTTAATATATTCTCAAGATGGTAGTGGAAGAGCGATGGCTGAGTCCTGTGTGTGTGTGTGTGTGTGTGTGTGTGTGTGTGTGTGTGTGTGTGTGTGTGTGTGTGTGTGTGTGTGTGTGTGTGTGTGTGTGTGTGTGTGTGTGTGTGTGTGTGTGTGTGTGTGTGTGTGTGTGTGTGAGAGTCTTCTTCTTCGAGTCCGTAGCAATCTCAGATGTCGTTCTGCCAGTATCGGGCACAGGCCACAGCTGATGGGGTAGGTTCTGCCAGCTCTTCTGGACTGCACCAGGGGGCATCGGCACATTCCAGTAGGTGGGACATTGTCTGCACTGATCCACAGCTGCACGTGTCTTCTGTGGTGTAGTTCCACACTTTCATCAGTGCTTTGCACCTCCCCTGTTCCACACACAGTCTATTAAGTGACTTCCAGGTTATCCAGCCAAGGTCGTGGCCACTAGCGAAGCTTTCCGTTGTTTGATTCCTCTGTCCAGCCATTCAAGAGCTCGTGTGTCATGTCTTTGCCATTCATCTTCCCAGATGTTGGTCCTTGCTGCTTGTTTGGTTGTCTGGAGGGGCAGGACTGTCTGCACAAAACTGGCTCTGGATCGGAGCCTGCGTGGGGGTGCTACATGGCCATGCAAGGGGTGTCTGATGTCTGTGTTCTCCGTTCATCTTGAGCGATACCTAGTCGTCTGATGTGCGGGGGAGAGATGCCAGCTAGCGCATAGAGGCACGGGACAGGTGTTGTCTTAACGCATCCCGTGATGATGTGGCAGGTGTTATTCAAGGCTGTGTTGACCAGTTTGGTGTGACGTGATCGGCTCCAGCTTGAGCAGGCATACTCTGCTGTAGAGAAACACAGGGCCATGGCAGTTGCACGGGTTGTTGGTGGATCTGCGCCCCACTTGGAGTTCACTAGTTTGCGCAGGATGTTGTTGTGGGTGTTGACCTTGGCTTTGGTGTTCTCCAGGTGTTTCTTGAAGGAGAGTGTCCTATCCAGTGTAACACCAAGATACATGGGATGCATATGGTTGGACAGTTTGTGGCCATCCCAGGTGACGCTCAGTTCATTTTTAGCGTCTCGGTTCCTCAGGTGGAAGCTGCATAGTTGGGTTTTTGATGGGTTGGGTGTCAGGTGGTTGTTATTGTAGTAGCTTGACATTTCTTGGAGGGCACTTTCAAGGACAGGCTCAATCTTCTGGAGGTCTACTTGTTGGGTGGTGATGCAGAGGTCATCTGCGTAGATGAAACGCTGGCATTCTGGGGGTAATGGCTGGTCATTTGTGTATAGGCATCTTCATCATTTGATTGCGTAGGTAAGTATACAGAGATTGGCCTACTGGCAGTATCAGATTATATCCTCTTGGATGTATGTCTCATTCAACCAGCGTATCCCAGGCTGCACCACGGCGAGGTTTCTGTATGTGTGAGAGTGAGTGAGTGTGTGTGTGTGTGTGTGTGTGTGTGTGTGTGTGTGTGTGTGTGTCTGTGAGATGTCTTGACGTCTCTCCTCAACTTCCACATTAGCTTAGCTGTTTATGCACGGCTGCACGTGCACAAACAAAACTTTACATCAGATACTGCTGCAGCTGCAGCTGCACAGACACACAAACACACACACACACACAAACACACACACACACCTCCTCCTCCTATCGCACCATAAAGCATCTCCTAAAGCATCTGGTAAAGCATCTAAGGCAACTAATGAACCGAAAGCAGCTATATAAGTGAAATAAGCTCCTATAGCACCTAAAGCACCTCCTAAAGCACCTAAAGCACCTCCTAAAGCACCTAAAGCACCTCCTAAAGTACCTAAAGCACCTACTAAAGCACCTACTAAAGCACCTAAAGCACCTCCTAAAGCACCTAAAGCACCTCCTATAGCACCTAAAGCACCTCCTAAAGCACCTAAAGCACCTCCTAAAGTACCTAAAGCACCTACTAAAGCACCTACTAAAGCACCTAAAGCACCTCCTAAAGCACCTAAAGCAACTAAACCACCCACTAAATCACCTCCTAAAGCACATAAAGCACCTAAAGCACCAAAAGCACATCCTAAAGCACTTCCTAAAGCACCTCCTAAAGCACCTCCTAAAGCACCTCCTAAAGCACCTACTAACGCACCTCCTAAAGCACAGAATTCACCAAAAGCACCTAAAGCAACTAAAGCACCTCCTAAAGCACCTCCTAAAGCACCTCCTAAAGCACCAAAAGCACTTCTTAAAGCACCTAAAGCAACTAAAGCACCTTTTAAAGCACCTCCTAAAGCACCAAAAGCACTTCCTAAAGCACCTACTAAAGCAACTAAAGCAACTAAAGCAACTATAGCACCTCCTAAAGCACCTCCTAAAGCACCAAAAGCACTTCCTAAGGCACCTACTAAAGCAACTATAGCACCTCCTAAAGCACCTCCTAAAGCAACAAAAGCACTTCCTAAAGCACCTACTAAAGCAACTATAGCACCTCCTAAAGCACCTCCTAAAGCAACAAAAGCACTTCCTAAAGCACCTACTAAAGCAACTATAGCACCTCCTAAAGCACCTTCTAAAGCACCAAAAGCACTTCCTAAGGCACCTACTAAAGCACCTAAAGCACCTAAAGCACCTAAACCACCTAAAGCAACTAAAGCACCTAAAGCACCTAAAGGACCTAAAGCACCAAAAGCACCTTCTAAAGCACCTACTAAAGCACCTAAAGCACGTAAAGCACCTAAAGCACGTAAAGCACGTAAAGCACTTCCTAAAGCACGTAAAGCAAATCCTAAAGCACGTAAAGCACGTAAAGCACCGAAAGCACGTAAAGCACGTAAAGCACGTAAAGCACTTCCTAAAGCACCTGAAGCACTTCTTAAAGCACCTAAAGCACGTAAAGCACCGAAAGCACGTAAAGCACGTAAAGCACCGAAAGCACGTAAAGCACGTAAAGCACGTAAAGCACTTCCTAAAGCACTTCCTAAAGCACTTCCTAAAGCACTTCCTAAAGCACCTGAAGCACTTCTTAAAGCACCTAAAGCACGTAAAGCACCGAAAGCACGTAAAGCACGTAAAGCACCGAAAGCACGTAAAGCACGTAAAGCACCGAAAGCACGTAAAGCACGTAAAGCACGTAAAGCACTTCCTAAAGCACCTGAAGCACTTCTTAAAGCACCTAAAGCACGTAAAGCACCTAAAGCACGTAAAGCAAATCCGAAAGCACGTAAAGCACGTAAAGCACCTAAAGCACGTAAAACACTTCCTAAAGCACCTAAAGCACCTAAAGCACTTCCTAAAGCACCTACTAAAGCACCTAAAGCATGTAAAGCACTACCTAAAGCACCTAAAGCAACTAAAGCACCTAAAGCCCCTAAATCCCCTAAAGCACCTAATGCACTTCCTAAAGCACCGAAAGCACCTAAAGCAACTAATGGCGCGTTTCCACTACAGCGCGCAGCCCGGTTTAAGAGGGCTGTGACGTCAGCGGCCCGTTTGTGGTTGCGTTTCCACTTGGCCTAGTACCGGCCGGCTGGTCCTAATTCTCAGTTTTTCTGGCCTCATAAAATCGTGGGGCCAGGGCCGAGAGAACCGGGCTGAGTTTGTGACGTCAACGCTCTCGGCTGCTGATTGGTCGGAGAGAATCGTCACAATCTGCGCGCGAGATAATCCATTTTTACAAACAGCATTTTTGTTAACAGAGGAGCTACAACAATGGCAAAGAAAAGCACACCATGGTCGGTCGAGGAAGTGACGACGTCCATTATATTGCAGATGATAAGGTCCAGCGGGTGCTCGACGGGACAACTCGCAATATCAAAGTCTTTCAGGAGGTCTCTACACAGACACTGGACTCTCCAACGGCGTTACTGGAGTCTGCATGGTACGTTTTTGCTAACGCTGTTATTTGCTTGAAAGCTTTGTGTCCCTGCTTTGTGTCCCTATCTGTTTTAAAGCTCACTTCTAACAAATAAGTCTATTTTATCCTTACATTTATGTTCGACAACCCCGATGGAGCCCCGAAGGCTAGCTAGGCAGATAGCATTAGCGAGAGCTATTGTTTGCTAACACCATATGTGCCATTGTTTACGTTCAGTTTGTCTTTTCTATAGTTGTTGTTGCTATTTATAGTATTGTGCTGCAGTAGTTTGTGGAATTTACAAGTCATGTTTCTGTTCTAGATGATTACATTGGGACTAGCGAGGAGGAACAGTTCCGAACAACGTCCTCTGCATCAACAGCACAAACCGAGGAGGAGACGATCTGGCCCTGCAGGAACGGCAACTGGCCCAGCAGAATCAATGCCATGTCTTATCTTATTGCTTGTTGATAAATAATTGCACCCACCAGCGATCACACAGAAAGATGGCATCATCTAGGCGTCCCTCTGCAGTCAGAAATATCATAAACACCATCGTCCACAAAGCACTGTACAGGGGTTTATGGATTTAAGAGAATACTTATCACAGTGAAACCTTTATCATCTGTTGCAATTAAAGCAAATAAGAGAATAAATACTTGGTTAAATAATACATTTGAACTCTTTAGCAGGACAACTCTGCATACTGTTTGAAATTGAGTTTGCTAGCTTGAGGTCCTCCTCTAAAACATAACATTACATATTTTGTAATGGTATTAAGAATACATGATAAATACATGTAGAAAAATTACTCAATTGTAATACCCTCGTTGTGCCAGACTCAAACACATTGCTTATATATTTCAAAGAGAAGAGAACAAAAGAAAACACCTATACAAAGAGAGCGGTGCACAGCGCTTAATATTTACTTGCACTATATTTCTGTTGATCTGGGTTATTGTGTTGCACTGTTGGAGGAGCCTGTGACCTAAGATGTTCATTGTCATAACTACACTAGCTATGTTCGTATGACAAAATAAAAAACCTTGAACCTTGAGGCTGTGTCTTTCAGACAAACCATCATAATCATATTATTTTATGCTGTGGATACTTTAGCCTCCATCCATGTTAACAATTTTTTACACTTGCATTTATGAATATAGTTCTGTTGTGTTTTACACTTTTGTATTTATGTTTATAGTTTGCTTTGATATTTGCTTAATTTATTAGATTATTATTATTATGGGGGCAGTACTGGTGCTTGAAATTCAAATATTTACTAAATAGTCAATTCTGATAACATTATTTTGGTTTAAATAATTTGACAAACACATGTATGTGAAAAAGAAAAGATGTATTTATGTTCAATACAATGAATATTTAGGTATTACATTATACATTCTAGGTATTCAGGTAGCGCATCAGACCCAAGTAACATGTAATGTAATGTTGACTAACTTATAACGAGCAAAACATTCCGGTTTTTAACATATATTATACAATTCCGCCTTTTCATTTTATACACAAATGTCGCTTTCTCACAATGTCCTCAGTATTTATTGCTTTTATCAATGAATAAACATGTATTACATTTTGCAAACATGAAAAAACACATCAGTTTTACACATTTTTAAACACCTTAATTCCTGAATGACAACTTCGCTGTTTTCTGTTCATAATGCCCTCTTTTGAATTCATGTAATGAACGTAGGTTTTCCTCAGGCATCCTGAAGTTCTCCACCCACTGAGTGTGTGAAAGATGGAACAATCACATTCCACCACTCGGTAGCTCGGTCGGTAACTTCTGAAATACACAAACAAAAGCATACATATTTTAATACGTAAAAGTGGTAGCTACAATTAATTAAATACTTGAAATACTTTGGTCGTATAGGGAGCGTGAGCCTAAACACATTGCTAGTTAGCGAACGTTAGCTTACCAAGTAGCATTGTAGTTAGTAGTGATTCGAGTCGTCCTGTAGTCTCTGCGGCGTAGGAGGACTGCCCGAACTCTCGCGTCAGCTTCTTCTATACGTCGCCTCTTTCGAAACAACTCTTGTCTATTTCTTGTGATAATAAACCACACAGCAAAAAACAAGCAAACGATCGCTTTCACATCTTCACATCTTCACATCCTCCATTGTTGTGTCGCATTGAAGATGACGTCACGGCAGTTTTAAGCAGCGTCGCTCCGCCTATACTGCGTTACTATAGATACTACCCCAGTTCCTAAACTGTAATGGAAACGCGCCATAAAGTGAGCTGGTCCTAACGAGGCCAATCGCGGCCCAGCCATACCGAGCGGGGCCGAGCGAGGCCGTATAGTGGAAACGCGGCATAAAGCACCTACTAAAGCACCTAAAGCACCTAAAGCACCTAAAGCACCCAGCAAGACGTCGGGGACATTTGGTGTTTTTTCATCAAGAACAAACCCAGGAGAGTCAACCATTGAGTTCACCACTGCAGTTTGTGTGGGAAGGATGGACAGGAGGATGGTGGCAAAGGGCAGGAGACTCCATCTTTTTAGGATCGCATACTGTGTATTTTTTGGGAGGGGAAAGAACAATGCATTATCAAACATTAGAGTTTGAGATACCAGTTCAAACCAGACCTTTTTGGAGAGGAATCATAATGTTATCTCATAGAGTGGTGAAGGGATTCACCAGTGGAGTATTTACTCTCCAACATGTCGATCGCGAGCTACCGGTAGCTCGCAAGCCCTCAATAAGTAGCTCGCCAAGAAAATCCAAAATGTAAAAAATACAAACAAAAAAAGGAAATGTAATACCCTATGCATAAACGAAACCTCAATCATAGCGAACTCTATCTACTTACAACAACTCTATATCTATCTAACACCCCTCCTCCCCCCACCCCCCACAATGAATATCGGCCAATCACGTTCTTGCTTGATTTCCGCGACCAGCGTTGCAGTCAGGAAGAAAAGCAAGGTGGAGCGGCACCTCACCACTTCATAAGGAGTTTGACCGTGATTGTCCTTCTGGCAGAATCTACACATCAGCCCCATTGAACACAGCCTAGTCCTGCCAGCCTATACAACACCTGAGGGTTTTTGTGTGTGTGTTGCAACTTACATATGTATTGCACTTGACGCACACACACGCATGGTGTAATTTCCACTGGGGACAGGGGAGACATGTCCCCCCCACTTTTCGAAATCCCGTTTGTGTCCCCCCACTTTACAAATATGTTTATTATTTATATTATTATTATTAAATATGCATAAATAAAAAGAAAGAATCTTTGAATAGATTTTCTTTTAGTAAACACTGAAAACGGGTCCCACAGACCCAAACAGCACACAAAAGTTAAAAGTAAGCATATAATAATGTTAAAATGTGCTAAATATATACACTGCAAAAAACTAAAAACAAGGAGTAAAAGTATCTCACGACTTGTTTAATTTTTTTAAGTAGCTCTCATCCTACAAAAGGTTGGAGACCCCTGCTCTACACACTGGTGAATGATTCCCAAGTTAAACTTGTATTGATCGGCATTGTGTAGACACAAAGATAATCAGGCTTTATTTCCTGGAGGAATACCAGGAATACATCTGGGATAAACTTCCTTTAGAAAAACTGCTTGTAGATTTGCTGGTTAATAAAAAAAATTATTAAATAAAAGATTGGATTTTAACATTTCACATCGTCATGAAGCAGTAATAAAATAAAATACTCCCTAAATGTCCTGTTTTAGGAACTTTACTTAAAGGGGACCTATCATGCAAAATGCACTTTTGTACGTCTTTTCTACATGAATATGTGTCCCCGGTGTTCCAGGGAACTCACCAAGTGTCAGAAAACACAACCCTCTCTATTTTCCTCCATACCCAAATCTCTAAAAAAGGGGCTGCAACGGATCTGATAAAAACTGATCCAGATTTGAACACTGTCCTGACGTCAGGACGGTGGCGCTACGGCTATTGGGCCAACTCCACCAATCAGGAGGAGACAGCCACGGCCATTGCCCTTCGAAAGTGCTGGAGACGCTGTAGTACATATGCCAGGCCTGTAGATGGTGCTGTTCTGCCCTTACACAAACAGAGCTAAAACATTTCAAATTGAGCAAAATGAGGCATGGCTAAAATGCATGATCTGTTTGGTATTTTGAAAACAAAAAAAGTATAAATATGCCTTATATAGGTATGGTCCTACACTATATTATTCAAATATAGCATGATAGGTCCACTTTAAGAAAAAGTAAAGAAGCATTGTCAGCAAAAGTTACTGAAAAGTTTGCAGAATCACCCGTTTTGCATCAACATGGGAGCAGCATCGTCTTGATAATTACAGTTATTTTGCGTATTCAGATTTACAAGAAATTTAATAAAATTCTCTTGAACTTGCCGTAGATTTCATATAATTTATATTTGAGATAGAAATTACAGCGTTTATATTTTGCAGAACTATAATTGTTTCATTTATTTATTTGTACTTTTGTAAAATCGCATAAAACATGGAAAACGTTGGATTTTGTCTGGATTTTTGTTTTTCTTTGATAATTTTACTTTATTTGACATATTACGTTTATTTGAATAAAACCTTTTGAAAAAAAACATTTAATACAATTAATTAAACTTTCACTTTATTTGACCTACATTACAACGTTTAGATGTTGCTGAACTACTGTATACATTTTATGTGAGTACAAACTGAAAATTATTTAAAAAAAAAGACATTTAAGACTTTGGGAAAACTGTGATTCCAATTTCTCATCTCCAATTTTCAACATTTTAAAAGTAATCCATTAAATGAGAAAATATTCCAGAGATGAACAAATTCAGAAATAATCCTTATAAACTTTTCCAAAAAAACAATTTACCATCTTGGTTCAGAGCTTCAAGAAATCTGCCAACACTGAGATGACTCAGATAGTGTGAAGGAAGGTACATTATATATATAACATATCTCTGGAGGTGTGGCTACAGAAATATCTGTGTCATCTGGGGTTGAACAACGTTTCAACATCTTTCCAACTCGTTCTCTTATCTTGGTTTAATGTGGTGCCTGTTCTCCATTAGAGGTTCAACAGGAGGAGACGGTTCAGGAGAGAAAGTCCTCAGACACACCCTGTAAACCAGTGGCTTAAATAACGTTCAACACGTATCTTAGTTAAAGAATAAGAAGAAGGATCAATGACCTTACAGCCAAATGATGAAACTCACAGTGACTGAAATAAATAAATATAGATATTTTAATTTCATTTTTTTTTCTTTCATTTAATCGTTTATTTGAATAGGGACAATTCACATTAATGAACACTTTAGACAAATAATGCTTCAAGTGTAAATATGCCGGATTTGAGCTTTTGAGCTCATTTCCATCCGTAGTCCCTGACATACAACATATAAGAACATGACATTTGTAAACATAGCAAAAAATAAATACATGATATGCAAAACAGCAAGAGCAGCACACACAAGTATTTACCACATGGCAGTACAATATAGCAGCTACGACATATAAAGTGCAAGAGAAGATACAAGAGATGCATCAAGTGCAAGAGGAGATACCCCTGTATTAAAGTGCATTTAGCGGTGATTAACAATTAACACTTTACAGATGTTACATGGGGGATGTATGGAGTCTCATTTACTGATGTGACTGATAGATGTCATGTTTCTATCTCATTGGCCTCAGAGCTGTCTGTCTGCTGGAGGCCCTTATTAAAAACCTGCTGCTTTCTGTCTGAGTAGTGGACTGTAAGACCCTCGTTTATATATCAGTTTGATATACTGCTGTGTCCAAGAATGAAAGGCTACGGTTTCAAAGTCAACAAATACATTTATTAAATGTCACAAGACTGCTTCTGTTACTTTGTGGTTAACCAGGAAGAATCCGGGCGGCGCAGTTTTGTATATATTCAAGACTCATTGGCCTCAGAGCTGTCTGTCTGCTGGAGGCCCTTATTAAAAACCTGCTGCTTTCTGTCTGAGTAGTGGACTGTAAGACCCTCGTTTATATATCAGTTTGATATACTGCTATGTCCAAGAATGAAAGGCTATGGTTTCAAAGTCAACAAATACATTTATTAATGAGATAACTCAGATGAACATAGCACTATTAAAGCACTGAACTTTATTTAGTAAGTCCACGGTTCCACTTTCTGTGCTGATAAAGATGTTATTGTGTTTCCTGCAGAGAGAGAGGAGCCAGCAACAGGTAGAGACCTGCAGAGAGAGAGGAGCCAGCAACAGGTAGAGACCTGCAGAGAGAGAGGAGCCAGCAACAGGTAGAGACCTGCAGAGAGAGAGGAGCCAGCAACAGGTAGAGACCTGCAGAGAGTCACAAACACCGTGAAGAGTCTGAATGAAATGTCACAACATGTCCAATTCCCCGTCTGGTCCTTTGTTCCGTGATTATCCAGCAAGAGTCCCTCTTTTATACACTGACTGTGAATATGATTTATTGTACTTACTCAAAGGAATAAACTGACAATGACAATACATATAAATATAGTTAAAAAGAAGAATCTCAAACATTTCATTTAACGGGTGGGGTTCAGTTAGGATATTTGTTCTGTGGCGAGGAGAGAAGACACTTGTGGAGGATCCAGTGAACGTGACTTACACTGACTCCGGTTTTTCAGATATGTGGTTTTCATATTGAAGGTGAAAGTCAGTATGTTTGGTTAAGTTGTTACTGCACACACTTTTGTGAGACAGCTTTTGAGTTTGAGTCTTGCAGATTACACAAACACCACGGTCTGTTTTTGTGAAGATATTACGATTTGTGTAACAGTTTATCAACAGAGCCAATGAAATGCAAAGACTTGTCAGAAAAACGTTATTCATCCCCTGAGGGAATTCCTAACAGTTGCTCCATTCTAGAATAAAATAATGAAACTATTCATTTACTGAGAGAAGTGGAACATTAGTACTGCTGAAACTGTCCTGCAGATATCTTCCCTTACTGTCTACTGTATCTTATTAGCATAGACATATGTAACCTATATTTACTCTGGTTCGATGCTGAACTGCGTGGTGTTGTGACAGTGACAATACATTTGAATATAATTAAAGAGTATAATCTCAAACATTTGGTTTAACAGTTTGTGCTCAGTCCTGTAGTTAATGTGAGGAGACAGTGAGAAGTGTGTGACCTTTAGAGGATGATAACATGCCCCTCCCTTCAGTGAACAAAGAGAAGTTTCTCTGCTCAGTATCAACACATAAAGACATACTTCTCTGTCTTTTTGTGGTAACAAGAAGGAGTCAGAGATCAGCATGTTCATTCACTTTTAGACTGCAGTTGGTTCGCTTTGAGAAAGATCTCCTTCTTGTTAACCTTAGATAAAGTCTTTAAAAAGCCTCTTAGATCATTCTCTTCACAAATTTGAACACAGTTTTTCTGAGAAACTCGTGAAAAGTTTACTTTAAGAGGTTCCCAAACTTTTTCTGTCAGGCCCCCTTTGGGTAATTGGAAATATTTTCGAGCCCCCCCCCAACCCGGTTCCCACGTAGATTGTTAGGATGTTTAGTATATAGTTGTACAAACATTACATTTTCTCTGCTAATATTAACAAGACACAAAGATCCAGCTATCATTGTATTTATTATTATGGATTGAACAGCTTCCACAAACCTCCGCGAGCCCCACAGTTTGAAAAAGGCTGTTATAGAACACGATGCTGCTTCAGATTAAAAAATAAATCAGTATTTCATTGAGTTGAAATCATCTAAAGCAGTCACATGCAACATGATATTCAATTCGACAGCACTATACGCTGCATTTTAAATATCCCAAATTATACCAGAAGAGTTGATCAAAAAACATCCTAAAAAATGTTTCAAACTAGTAAGAAAGCTTTTCTCAAAAAGATGTGTATGAAAATTGCTAATATTATTTAAAGGAGTTGAAAACATCTACAGCAGTAACATGCAACTGAGTGACAACTAGCATTGTACTGCACTTCAGGAATGCTATCAGGAACTTCTTTCCTTTTAGTCAGATCAGTGCAGACTGTTTACTGACTCTCCTGCTGTGACTGCACAGAGGTGGAAAGTAACTGCACAAATGTGACGTACTTGTACTTACTTGAGTATTTCCATTGTATGCTACTTTATACTTCTACTCCAATACATTTACTTAACAGCTTCAGCTTCTTGGAACAAAATGCATCTCTAAATACAGATGACTAACTCTTTAAGTTAAAAAGACTACAATTATTTAAATATTTTACAAAATGTTTGTCTCCATGCTACTTCATGCAGCAATATTATCTATACATGTCACATATATTAATATAATTATACACACATAAAGGCAATTTTTCTGCACAATGATTACTTTTAATACTTTAGGTACATATTGCTCATAATACCCCTGTGAAATGCAAATATAGTCAACCCGGTATCACGGCAAGACGTGAACATGTGACGATTTACCATACTGGGAGACGTGAAGATGTCACGATGTCGTCCCTTCAAACGTGACAGTTACACGGTATTGTTAACATGGCCCAACCAGTGGAGATATACCCGGAAATGCCAAGCAAATGGTCTACCCCGACGGTCGGTTGTTATTGTCAATATTAATATAATAAGGATTTTTTTTTTAATAGTCACACTCGATTTCGCCGATTTTCTTGTGGCCCCAGCTGGTCGACACCTCTTTTAGCAGAAACAAAGGCTACATTAATGTATTAAATCGATGTTAATCCATGTGTGTAGATGTGGAATTAACGGACGTGACGTTGTGCGATTGCGTTGCCAGGCAACAGCTTCGGTTCATGTTAATTTACAAACTCTTCAACTAGAACCGTAGTTATATTTAAAAACATTTTAGAAGGCCTCACAAAATACTTTAATGTAAATTAAAATTCAAATGTGAAGGAATGTGGGTACAGATGGAGCATCTTATTTCAGACTCCAGCTTACTGCTTCCTGCCTACTACCTGCCAGCTTCCTGCCTAAGACCTGCCAAAGACCAGTATCTGGGAATGTTAAGCCCTCCCACTATTTTCCAAGAGGGCGTTGCCAGATTTTCAATTTCAGGATTTAACCAGGAGATGGCGCTTCCTTCACAAAAACAGGAAGACAACTTTTCATGGACTTTCAGTTTTGTTTAGAAGAGCATTTGAACACATCAATATTTTAGATCAAATGAAGTATATCTAATCTTGTAATTCAATAATATATAGTCTTTATATATTAAATAACTATGGCCAAACTAAGACTTAGTTTTTCACAAGAGAAAATGCAGATATTATATAAAAAACTAAAGTTAAAATCTTGTTTTTAATGCCCCAAGAGCAATAAAAAGATAAGGAGGAGAAACGGTTTAAGGAAGTAAGCAATGAATACAGAATGTCGAAATCCTCTGTTTCACGCAATGTCGAACATTGAAGACAGAGGACGGCGGTCCCCCAATCTACACAGCGGGAGAAAGAAGATCATAAAGCAGATCGGAGGAGACATCACGATCTTTCCCACATTAGTGCAATTCACCTATACTTAACCCCAAATAAAAGAACCCAATAAAAACAGTTGTTAAATAATAGTGAAGTCACGTTGTAATAATAACTCATCTCTCGGTTTGAGTGTTCTTTTTCTGCTTTTCTTACTATTTCTCATTGTGGGGAAAAATAACACCCAGGGTCCTGATCGTTTTAATGAAGTTGAATACAGAATATTCATATTTGTCAGTGATTTAATGTCAATTCGGCAAACATAAACATAAATAATCTTGGTGAAGATGATGATTAAATTAGGATTAAAAATCGGGAGAGCCGGCTGCATTTCCTCTCGTTAGTTTTTTTCGACTAAACAACATTATTTTGTTAAATAACAACATGGTGATGTTTTGTAAATGATTACATGTCTTATTTAGCACAGACTATGATCCTATCCGTGACATATGGATCTTAACAAAGATCCGCTATACATTAGTACCAGACATACTGTA